CAGCATGGGTACTAATTGATGCTGGTTATGACCAGGAGGTATTGGGATTGGGTTCAAAAGAAAGCTTGCCCAGGTGACTGAGTATATTGCATGATCCATTTCCAATAATGGCACACTTTGTAATCTAGTAGTCACGAGGGATGGGTCTTGTGCGGGACGACTTCGTATATAGGGAAACTCTCGAATGGTTGTAACTATATTTCTAGTCGTGCGGAGTACAATATTGTTGGTAGCAGAAGATTCCGCGACGAATTCGGAGAATGATACTCCTCGGACACCCCAAGCCGTCCACAATCGCTGAAGATTTTCCAAAGGGATTTCTGATGCTGATCGGAATGGATCTAAATACATGGGTTCCACGGCGCTGTCCTTCTGTTTGAGTGGCTTGTCATCGAGGTCTATAGAAGGCTTCGGGAAAACCATAGCATATACGTGACTCGGCATACCGCAGACCCTAGCATCGAGTCCAGTTCTTCGAGCTACCGCACAAAATATTGCGACAGACACCAGTGGTAACGAAGGATGCTCTGGCTCCTGCAGTGCTAGACTAATATAGTTATTTTGTAAATTGCGATAGTTGAGTTCATTGTTGAGACCTAAAAGGTTACGGTCGCGCAGAAACGTAACGACTGCGAGGGCTTGTTGTCGAGTAGACATGCAATCGAATTTTGGGTAGTCAGTTCGAACCCGAGTGGCAAGGTTGTCAAGAATATCGGAAACCTATGCCAATTCATCAGTTAAAATTCACACGCATACAGCAATATTGAAGGAAATGCATACCTCCTGAAAATCCCCAATGTTGTCATGTAGAACAAACATATCGTAAGCTCCCAGTGCTGCTTCCAGGGATACCTCCTCGCCCCTGGCAAGCTTCGACCATACTGCGAGAGCTTTTGAGCGATGAATGAAGTCAAGCACTGCACAAGCATAGTACCTATATATGTATATATTAGAAAAGAAACCATCTGCGCGTTGAATAGCTTACTTTCTAGCAAGATAATCATCGCCACGCATGCGACTGTGTCGCAAAAGTGCATCTTTTGCATCATATCCAAAACGTCCAATCTCTTCGAAGTTCACAATACGATTAGCTCGACTCTCGAGAAGACCATTCAACGCGGCTGTCGTTCTTGTATCTACGTTTTCCCGATGGATATATAAGCCTTTCCAATTCACATCTCCTACAATACCGGCAAACTTATCAAGAACGGCATGTCTCGCATCCCAGTACTTGAAGTGTACGCGACAGTGGTATCGCCAAAGTAATGGCTCATTCCCCAAGCGATTGAATCGCTTTGAAACCAGTTGGATATTCGAGAGAGTATCGTGCGGAGAACTGAAGTAGAGTATTTGTTGCACAATCTCATCGGGAAGAATTTCAAAAGTAAAACCTCGGCTTGCAGAATCGTTAGGAGTCATCGCAAAAAATGAAATGCCAATTTGGCAGTCGTAGTTGTGCTCTGGAATTCACCTCTCGAATGTAATTGCTGCGTCACTTCAAATAAAATGAAATAATTGTGTTTCTGAAGTCGAGGGTCGTGAAACTTGAGAATGCTTAGGACTGGCGCGGAGTCGTTCAAATAGTTCAGATAGTTCAGACGGCAAGTCACTAAAGGATGAGTATTTCCCTATTCACTACCACCAGTACCTAGGGAAAGAAATGTATGACGGAGATCAAAACAAACATCATTTTGTATGACCCTATCTGAGCCAAAGAAATCCGGCCATACTTGGAGAAAATCGCTGGAATAATGATAAGCATTCAAACAATTGAATCGGGCGTCCATAAGGATTTGTTTTGGAGAATTCACAGCACAGTATTGTATGAGGATATCGAGAATTCCATTTTATTGTTGTGGTATCGCCTATCAAATGCACCTTGGCTGAAGTAAGTACATCATACCAGCTCCACCCGCACAATGCGCATACTGTCATACTGTCTAGATGCAAACCACAGGACCTACCCCGCTTCAAAGCAGAATAGATAACCCCTCCCTTCACAATGACATGCTACGATGTTCCAGAGACAGCATTTACCACTGCAAATACATCTACAACTGAAACCACAACTAAAAACCACAACTACAATCGGGATCTTCTTTATTTTCGTAGTGGAAAATGTGATAAAATGATTGTGCTGTTGTATGTATCATATCTTTATCTAATAAACATCCCGATTGATAATTTCCATTGTCATCGCCTTTGAACGCCGTAAAGTGCTGTCTGGGCCACTCCTACTCCCGCTGAAGATGATGAATGCTAAAAGTGCTTTCCAACGGCTCCATTTACATGATAGTACAATATCTTTGTAAGGGAGTTTGCTCCGAAGGATGGGTATAGTAAATGCCAAACCTCTCCCTGCCATCTATCGTTTCATGCTCAATCTGTTTTTCCTTTGTTTCTTTGGGAAAATTCCGTAAGAGAAACTTGGAGAGTTTTTCATCGATGTTATCTATAAGCATCAGTTGGGGACTCTTCCACTTTGTTCAGATCTGTGTGTTGGAAATTACCTTGATCAGCCTTTAAAATCACTTCGTCTCGGCATAAGGGGCAGGCATTGGTCCCACGCCGCTGCATGAACACCGTGCATCGAACACATAGAACATGATTGCATTCCATTCTTATTGGTCGCCACACTATCGCCAGACAGACAGGGCAAGTATAATCACTCAACTGAGGTACTATCTGAACAAGATCCTGTGTCACCTGTGCGCATACAGATCTGGCCATCGTTTCCGTCATGATAACGTCGGATTGGATCAGTCTGGGGAATGTCTGCCTAGCACCAAGCGTTGTCCTCTTATCAAATTCTAATTACCATTAGCTGTGATTCCGTAAGAGAAATGATACGTCATTGTGGTGCCCAGATATTAACCATGAGAATTGAACAAGTGTAGAACGTACTTTTCAATATCTTAGCAATAGCTTTTTGGTTGATCTCCTGAAATTGGAGATTTCGGAGTAGCGTAACATTAATGCTGATAAACTGGTTCACTATTGAGGTCAGTATCTTCACTCGAGAAAGACTAGAATTTACAATACGTACATGCTTTACGGCTAGGGGATAGTTTGAATGTATCTACGATGCCTCTTTTAACTACTTCACTCTGGAACCATCTGCGAAAAGTATCATTAGTCAAATACCGGCGTGCCTACTAAAATGTGCTTACTTACTGTAAACGCTTCAATGCAGCTACACTATCACGCTTACCATGATCCTTTTCGAGATCCGAAAAGAATATTCCAGCCTGTACGTAAACATCAAACAATTCTCTCCACCGATACTGGTCGGTCTTTTTGAACCTTGAAGGCTCGCTGAGCTTCACGAGCTCTTTTGAAAGATCGCCAACCTCAGCGACGAGAGCCCTTTGTTCTTCGTCTTGGAGTGCATCAAGATTTTCAACATCTCCCTGCAGAAGACCGAAGAATTCTGCATCGAAAGTCAGAGGCACTTCGACTTCCCGAACAAGAGGTCGTTCCACCTCGATCTCTGACGATGAATCTCTACAAGTCATGTCAACAACTGGTTTACACATACCCTAAGAATCAACAGAACACACTCACGTAGGAACAATTTGGCCACCTTCATCACCAGCGGGATCGGATAGTGACACGTCTGAAAGGTCCCGATGGTGATTTACCAGATCCTCTAGATATCTTCTCGTGTCAGCTGACAGCCTAGCATCAACGGTGACACCTTGTTCAAGCCGTAAGATGAGGGTGGGCCGAAATTTCGAGCCTTCTTCAATTAGTTTCTTTACGCAGATCAACATAAACGTAGAAGGTGATTCATACCCTTGAAATCATACAAGTACGCAGGACCAGTACTGGAAATCTCTCTCAACTTTGCAAGCGCGGCAGGATCCAGACCGCATTGTGCTAACTCGGTCGCAATCTGGCTTACATTAGCTTTTGTTGATCGGTGCGAAATTCTGACCGACCTTTTTAAGAGATTTCTTGAGCAGACCATAAGGAATGGCAGAATCTACCCAGCGTGGCGGAAAGCCTTCTCTGGCAAGGGCATCTTTGAATTCTTTGGCAAATTTCATAATAAAGGCATGCAGTACAATAAAATGTAATTAGTCGACTAATGCTGTAAATCTGTCGCTCTGTCTGCTATAACGCTATTGGGAAGAAAGATTTATGTGGCATTGTTTGAAAAGAGCAAAAGGGGTGGGTGGGATGGCGATGAGAATATTTACAATTTTTCGCGCAGGGCAAGGACTATCTTGACTGTTAGTTGGGATTCTTAAGGATGCAGATAGCGAATAGGTATAGAGCTTTAAGCTTAGGTATCGAATTATTGACGAAGAAGTTTGATAGGTAAGAGCAAGATGGAGATATTCTGGAGGAAGAAGATTTCTCAAAAGCTATGTATTCGTAATATGTAATATGTAATATGTAGGTAGAATTATTGACAATGAGTAGGAGTGCGCGGGAGTGAGTGGGAGTGAGTAAAGAAAATCAGTATGAGCTTACCTGGTAGACTGTGTGAAGGTGTGACTGGACTGGGTTCAAGATACCTAGTAGCTTATCAGATATCCAGACCAGACTCCAGACAGGGACAAGTGCTTAATGCAGGCCTTGTCCGCTTCAATATGAATCTATCCAAAAACGTGCAAAGACTTTACTTCAAGATCAAGATTCTCACTCCATAGGGAGTTCTGACTTCTAATAAGTCCTGGGTACCGGTTCGCGCGTTCTTGACTCCTTGGGAATGGGGATGGAGTATCTACCTACCTACCTAGTACCTGGTAGTACCTGGTAGCACATAGGAGTACCTACCTAGCAATGCTACCGGCTAACTCATGGACCGACTCGAGACCGGTGATGGAGTCAGTAGTCTGCTCTCTCGCGTCTCTGTAGAGTCTGAACGGTGCAAATGCTAATGGCTATCCCAACTACCTCGAGCTTTCTAGTCATGCACGTGCTGTCTAATACTATATCTACTGGGTGCAGCAAAACTAGCTTATCTAAGTTATCTCCTAATCACAAAACTCCTCCATACCTCCATGTGCCATCCTCCATCTTGAGAAAAAATCAGATTTTATATCTACCTAGTCCCTGCCTGGTCTAGCATTGCACCTCCCACCATCAAGATGCTTATGTAATAAGATTCATACACTTATTACCATTCTCGCCATTCTTGCAAATTTGAGTAGCTCGGGTACGGTACCTACATACCTGGTAGTAAGTACATCGCGGGATCCAAGAGCCAGGTACCTATCATTCGGTTTACTCTTTTTTTTTCTCCTTATCTGATTGTTTTTGGTACCTATTTCATACATTCATCGTACATTCATACACAAACCATTCGGGAAGTTCTTTATTGTACTAAAATATAATAAATCCAATATCGCCCACCTACCTACGTGCAAGGTTCCGTTGCTTGCCTATACTTTGAACACCATCTAGAAAGCGATTTCAATCCTCTATTCTATGGGCGCAGAACAATCTTCGTCGCGTGGTGGGGATGCACAAAATAATGGCGGGGTAGTCATGAAAACATGTTACTACGAATTGTTGGGCGTCGAACGACAAGCTTCAGATGATGAGTAAGAACTTGAATATTACTTTTTAACTCATTATTCTAAGATTGATTGAATGTACCTAGGATCAAAAAGGCTTATAGGAAAAAAGCGCTGGAACTTCATCCCGATCGAAATTATGGCAATGTTGAAACTGCCACCGCGAAGTTTGCCGAAGTTCAATCTGCCTACGAGGTCTTGTCAGATCCACAAGAAAGAGCCTGGTATGACTCTCATCGATTATCAATCCTAGGAGGCGGTGATCCTGCGGAAGACGACTTTGCAGACAATGTTCGAATAACGAGCGCAGCGCATATCATAAGCTTGATTGGAAAATTCGATTCCAGTGTCCCCTTCACGGATGCTCCGAATGGGTTCTTTGGTATACTTCGAGAGACATTCGCAACTCTTGCAAGAGAGGAGAAAGCAGCATGCGATTGGGATGGCCTTGAATTAGTCGATTATCCTGATTTTGGGAGCGCTGAGGATGACTATGAGGACGTAGTCAAATCCTTTTATAGAGCCTGGGTGAACTTCACAACTCAGAAGTCATTTTCATGGAAAGACCTCTACCGGACCTCCGATGCGCCGGATAGGGCAACCCGCCGATTGATAGAGAAAGAAAATAAAAGGTCCCGGGATGAGGCCAAAGCAGAGTTTAATGATGCCGTCAGACATCTCGTTCTATTTGCGCGAAAGAGGGATCCCCGCTTTACTCCGAATTCACAAACCCAGGAGGAGAGACAGAAAATATTGCGGGATGCTGCATCGGCCCAGGCAGCTCGTAAACGAGCGGCAAATCAAGCCAAGTTGAACAGCTATGTAGTTCCGGACTGGGCGAAATCCGATGAATCTGAAGGTGCAATCGAAGAATCATCTGAAGAGTCTGAGGTTGAAGTAATAGAGTGCGTTGTTTGCAACAAGACATTCAAAAGCGAGAACCAATTTGAGGCGCACACGAAAAGTAAAAAACATACCAAGGCCGTACAGGCTATCCAGAAACAAATGCGCAAAGAGAACAAGTCTCTACACTTGGATACACCACCGGAACCAAAGGGTAGTGACCTTGATGATGGTTTCGAAAGACTTGAAGTTACGTCAGAAAATGGGAACCCTGAGTCTGCTTTCGATGGTGCAACTGAAGCTGAAGAAGCGAGACGCTTGCCATATGATCACGACTTGAATGCCGGCAAATTAGACGGTCCGGTCAAAGACGATTCCGATATCGACAGCCTAAATGATGATTACGCACCCAGGGCAGCAGTTGAGGAAAGACTAGCGGCAGCAGTATCGGGAGATACACTCTCTCCTGAACCCGAGGATCTGGACCCTGGTCAAGATTCAACCAAAGATATAGAGCAAGATGCTTCTAGCGATCCTACTCCAAAGAAACCTCTTGGAAAAGCGAAAATGAAACGTGCCAAGAAAGCTGCTCAAAAAGAACCTGCAGGGTTGCAGGGCGAAAATGTAAGTGATCCTCTCTTCACTTATATCACTTGGTGCTCATGAGATTCCAGTTTAAATGTGCCAATGTGACATGTCATGAGTCGTTCTCCTCAAAGAGCAAACTCTTCAATCATATCAAAGAATTTGGCCATGCCTCGCCCGTACAAAAAGCTGGCAATTCAAAAAAGAGGAAATAAAAAAATGGGAGCTAAATTATGAAGTTTAGAGCATTGAATGTGGTTTACTATAGCTTTATACCCTTATTTGTATGTAGAGGCGTTCCAAAGAATGGCAGGCATGCTCCCCCGCTGAGCACAAATCTAATGAGTTTCCTTGTCATAATAACCGCCCATTCAAATGCTTGTGATCTGACCTTGAAAGCAGACATTGAAGATTAACTAATCAGCCCATTCATCATTTCTAAACCGATCTATTCGACGATATGTAAAGGTTACAATCCACTGGTATAAGTCCATGGTGGTTTTGGTAAATTCTTTTTACATTGCTATGGCCCCTTGGACATGCACGTCTGGACCAAAGTGGTTGTTTTTGAAACATGTCCTAACAATTTTGAATCTCTATAGCCTGCGAGAACTTGATTGTTTTTCGATCAAAATGGGACACTTGAATAGACTCGAGTAGCACAAACGGGTTGGGATTGGAGGTATATTTCGATGTTCACATGAGGTCTTAAACATTAAAAACCAATCAAAGTTGTAATTTGCGATAAGAAAGGATTAAGACTAATCTCTATAAAATCACCTACCCCGAACGCCCTAAATACCTGAATTCCTTTGGTGGATCATTTCCCAGCGCCTTAAGCGTCTAATATGGTATCGTCATCGTCGTCGTCGAATGTTTCAACCTCGTCAATAGCTCCATCTCGCTCTCCGCCTAAGCCATACGATGCCGGATCCGTGTCTGCAACGTGGATAACTCCCTTACCCTGTACTTCCTTTACGGCCCGTCGCCACTCATTCCAATCGTTCTCGTCACGTATCAAGAATGCAATAAGCATGCTGGGATCCATCTCCTTTATGTGGAGTCTTCGAAGTCGACGAGTGTGGCACGAGTCAACATCCTCTGTAGTATAGTCATCCATATTATCTTTGTACGGAAGTGCTGGTCGTGTTTGATGAGGATCCAGATAGAAGAAATCTGACTCTTGCACACCAATGAAGTAGTGCGAGGAGGATGGGCGACCCCTATACTGGATTATTATATGATCATGTTAATGAAACTCAGAGTGACTCACCCAGCTATCCCCACAGATTGTGGCATCTGTAAGGAGTACTTCAGTGCCTCCCAGTAGACAGGAGTTATCTTGTCAAGGCCCAGCCTCGTACCGACTAGAATGAGAGTCGGGGTGAAGTCTGAGTGGTTTGGCTTTGCGATACTCATAAAGGTGTCTTCGTATACGTCCGATCCATCACCCGTGATGTATACACGCAGTTCTGATTTGGCTTGGTTATTGGACAAAGCCCTGTAGATTATCAGCCATTATTCAAATTCCACTCGAATAGTCTTCTTACTGGATACAGCGCGCAGTAGCAGATGGTCCGAACCACTCTCCAGGATGTTTCCCACAAGCACTTGCACCGTGCTCGACAAATTTGTGAATAGAGTAAGGAGCTCTCGGGTCATCTGCGAATAAAGATAGGATTTTACGTTCTTCGTGGCTAGATATCCCGCGGCGCCATTCTATGTCATGGTCAGCTAAGGCATCGAAGAAAGTGATGGTAAGGGAACGAACCTCTGCCCATCCTCAGAGTAAGCAATGCATTTGCCAAAAGGCTTTGTCCAGACCTTATCATACAACCCCACCCCGTGTCAGATGTAAAGCCTCCTTGGTCGACAAGTTGGCTCCTCAATCGTACTGATAGTGACATCGCAGAAAAGGCTTTTGGATCCTGCGACTTAGCTATCGCTGGAAAGTTTGATCGGTATGTAAGCCATATCTTGGCTTCAAAATCATCAAGGAATGCGGATGGCCATCCTCCATCTGCATTGGCTGCGTCGCAAGTTTGGTAGCCTGAACTTGATTCAAGACTGCCAACGGTACTATCAGGTGGAGTTGTAACATTGGTAGGTAAAGACTGTGCGGGTAGATGTTTTCCTTCCTGGGGAGGGGAGTCTGTAATAACTGAAGTGGGCGACTTTTCCAGAATAGGGTATTCTTTTCCCAAGCACCAAATAGGTGACTGCGAGGCAGTGTCGTTTGTAGGCTCGGGGTCCCAGAAATACTGGACGAAGCGTTTGTAACGACCTATATCAGCCGCCGTCATGGTTGAATGCGACTATGATTCGTATTCAAGTCGTATCGGATGCACATAAGACTTGTAGAGCGCTATGGGAGAGAATGGCGGGGACGGTGAGCTGAGGGGAAATTGATTAGGATTATTGACGGATGCTGTAGTGGAAGTATAGCGCTGATGGAAGAAGTGTAGTTGAAGTAGAAGTATTATAAATAAGTAAACATTTGATAAGTCGAGAAATGTTGCAGATTGTTTAAAGTATGAGATGAGGTGAGTGCTGCAAGGCGAAGGCAGCTGATGTTCTGATTGATGTTATCACGTAGTAGTCAAATATGATACTTTGTTTGGCCTAGTGCGTTCTTCTGTGAATGTTTTAGACATGACAACACGACAACTGTAGCCTAGCTCGGCAGGAACTTGGTTGATGATGTAATGAATTATTAATTGGATGAGAAGTTAAGAAGATACTACCTAGTAGGTACTAGACAGGCATTAAAGTATTGGTACTCGAGAGCCTTACTTATTAGTAGTATCTCCGAGTAGGTATCTTCTGGACACCTGTGAACAAGGTATTTATTGTTTCTCCATATCTCCTCTCCTCCTGTACGGAGTACTACAGACCCACCTTTTGATGGTTTCTTATCGATAAGAAGCTCTCCAAGTCCTCATCACCTGGGCATCCATATTTATTCAAAAGCTGACTGGCGAAGGCGAAGTGCCCACAAATTGCCAGCATCTTATTGGATTAAAAAAGCTACTAGTACACATCTTCGTGCAGCGCAGTAATCTATCATAATAATTGATTTTGTTACACACAACACCGACCAGTACCTGAGTTGCCTACCCTGTAGCCTAACACACTCATCACTACGAGTAGGTTATTCACCTACCACTCGAATTATTCTCATTGATGGCAAAACATTCTTCATCTTTTCCTGATCGAAGTTAAAATTCGTCGTAAGGATCTTTACGCCAGTTTACCATCCGTAAACTTCGATTCTATTGACAGTTTCATTGTGCCGTGATAACACAAGCTATGCCACGAAACAAACGGGGTGGCGCTCGTGGGAGGGGCAATTTCAGTTCACCTAGAGGTGGTCGCGGAACTCCTACTCCTGGAACCTCCTTTATACCATTCGCTGGCACATATGTTCCGCAAAGGCCTCAGACTGGTAATGTTTATATATTTTCCATACCAATAATCTCTGGCGAATGCGAATGCAATTGCCATTGTGCTACCAGACATGTTGGTCAATGCTAACAAAATTGGTATATTGTAGGTTTCACACTTCAAGAAGAAGCTCGCAATACTGAACGTCATCATTCATTTTGGAACTCTGATCAAAGATTGAGGGATACAAAAGTGAGCTTTGTCAGCGCCGGGGAGTTCAATCCACCAGATCTTATCAAGGATTCTGAGGAGGCACTGGCTGGAATGAGCTTGGAATCTGCAGAATTACCTGCAGGAAACTTGACCCAAGATGTGAAAACAGCGAATCGCGAAATGAGGGCGGCTTCACCCTCTTTTTCGTTCATGATAGATACCGATGGTGGTAACCGTGTTGAGACAGGCCTTGCACCACCGCGTTTGCGCTCAATCTCTCCAGCTAGGTCAGACTCAAGCGAAGAAGTTATTCTCTTTCACGGACGTGGTCAAGTAAGGAACGAAGATGCCAGGATAGAACATGACCCCCCAACAAGCGTAGATCCTATAGATGCCAGGATCAAGTTCTTAGATGATAAACTTCTTGAGCAAGAAAAGCTATTGGAAGAAGCTTTAGATGAGAAGGAGGCATCTCTAGAGTCTATTCCACCCGAGCTGGCAGAAGCATTGAACAAGGAGATATTTTTGGGCGCGACGTCACATAAGGTAGCAAATTCACCTTCTCCAGATTTCGAGGCAATATTACCCAAGCGTCAAAATAAAGGTCGAGGTCAAGGTCGTGCTAGACGAAGTAGACGAGTGACCGACAGAATCGATGATAGTGACGAAGAGGATGCTATGATTGCAGACTACATTGCGAACATGGATCAGGAACAGACTATGGCTGATGTCGACCATACATTCAACAAACGTGAGTTGGGAGGCGATGACGACGCTGCTTGGGAAGATGATTCTTCTGTTAAAGGAACTCATGATTCTGATGGACGTCACGGATGGGGTCGGACAGAATTGCAGGATTTTGACGATCTCAGCACGTCGGATGAGGCCAGGGGCAAAGTCGAAACGATTTTATCAAAAAGGCACCGTGTTAGTGGCGTGCAGTACTTGATCGTCTGGGAACATCAGGACGTAGACGAAGCCAGATGGGTTCCGCTGGATGTTCTACAGGATTCCGGGGCACTGCCTCTCATTGAGGTTTTTGAAGCTGAAGAGAAGTTGGTTGCCGAATTCGAAAGTAATGGAGACGAAGACAGTGATGATTCCGACGATATTGCCGATGGAGACGATGACGACCATGATGACGAGCAGGATCTAGTTCAAAGGAGGATCGCAAAAATGAATGATGAACAAATTGCAAGACTGATAAATAAGCAAGAGGAGCTTGGTATGGGCGGTGATGAAATTCTACTCTTTGACGATGAAGTCGATGATGAGGATGACGACATGGAAGCATCTACGATTGATCTCAGTAATTTCATACTTTCAGGCAGAAGAGGCAGGAAGGAAAGACAGCGGCGCCAGGGCGAATTTCTACCTGCAGCTTCATTGGCCGATGCTTACGATGGATTTGATGTAATGGATTTCGATCGACCGAGTCTCAAAAAGAAACCTAAAGGTCGCAAGGGCAAGTTGATACTAGACGATATCTCGGATTCAGAGCTTGAGGCCTCAATGCAATCAGCTTGGGACAATGATCGTGTTAAGAAAAAGGAGAGAAAGCAGGAACGTGAAGTATTACGTGCACGAGGTTTACTGACTGGCAAGCATGGCAAGCCCGATATGAAGGCAAGGTACAAGGAAGGAATGAGTATTGATGATGTCAAGGAAGAAATCAAGGAGTTTTTGAAGGGTGACAATACCACGTCAGTATCATTTCTGATCTTCTTAATCCACACTAACATATTACAGCCTTTCTCTTCCTGCGATGGACAAAGCCGACCGCAAATTTGTTCACGAGATCGCCAATGCATTCAAATTGAAGTCCAAATCAGCTGGTTTAGGCAATAAACGTTATCCTATCTTGTACCGTACTTCAAGAACGACTGTTTATGGAGAGCGCGCCTATGAAGCTGCAGCGTCGAAACTTTCACGCCGTTTCCTTCCGCGTAATGACGTAGGTGGGAGAAAAACAGGCGCTGCGCCCAAACGTGGCGGCCGAACTGGTGGTGGTGGTTTTGGAGGCGGTTTCGGTGCTGCTAGTTATCGTGATGGTGATGTTGTCGGTGCATCGGCTCCCGAACTGGGTATTGAGAACAAAGGAAGAGCGATGCTAGAAAAGATGGGCTGGAGTGCCGGCACAGCTCTTGGTGCGCTCGATAATAAGGGCATTCTTCAGCCAGTTTCACACGTTGTAAAGACCACAAAAGCCGGTCTAGGATAAGAAGCCGCAAATATGGACGAGATGTCGCGAGCCGACTAGTCGCCCATGCGTTCAATTCGAGTCGATACGATCTCGAACACGTACTCGGCGGTGGTCGCTAAATAGGGGTTAGTGTAGAATGCTTGTGTTTGACAACACGAGTCCAAACTCGAATCGCGGCGCGATCTAACTCTGTTAATGACATCTCTCTATATAATAGAGGATAAAAACCATGCGCCACATTGTATGGAACCTAATAAGTGACAGTGAATTAAGTTGATGTTTGAATTTCGTCTTCTAATTCCCTATTCTGATGAAGACGTTTGTTTATTGTACAGCCACGTACCCCGAAAACAGACCGTGAAGACATTTGCCCCCATAAAAAGCAGACCATCCATAACGCATTAAAAAGAAAACCCCAAGGTCCTCGAACAACAACAGCCATCATCTATGAGATGACCCCAGAGCTCAAGCATATCCGATATCCCCCCTAAACCCCAAAGAAAAGACAACTTATTTCGTGGATGAAGAGTACTTGGTAACAGCCTTGGTACCCTCAGAGACGGCGTGCTTGGCGAGTTCACCGGGGAGAATAAGACGAACACTGCAGGATAGTTAGAAATGAGATATGCGGATGTAATTGGGTTGGCACATACGAGGTTTGAATTTCTCTTGATGAGATGGTGCTCTTCTTGTTGTAAGCAGCGAGCTTGGATGCCTCAGTGGCGACGCGCTCAAAGATATCGTTGACAAAGGAGTTCAAGATGGACATGGCGCGGTTGGAGATACCAGTATCTGGGTGAACTTGCTTGAGAACTATGGATTCAAAATGTTAGTGGTTGTTGTTTGGTAAATGCGACGCGTCATGATTGGAAGCGCGACCGGAAATCGCGAGTGGGTTTGTACCTTTGTAAATGTATGAAGAGTAGGTCTCCTTGCGTCCCTTCTTCTTGCGTGGCTTTCCTTCGCTGGTGGTGGTCTTCTTGCCAGCGTCTTGCTTGCTAGCTGGGGCCTTTGATGCGGATGCAGGTGCCTGTTTTGAAAAGTGTTAGAAGATGATATTTGGAGCGCGCCGCGAGAGTAAACACGTACCTTGGCGGCAGCTGGTGCCTTGCTTGCAACTCCCTTTGGTGGCATTTTGAATTTAAGATTTATTTGGATTGAAAAATGTGAGGTTGGAGATTGATGTTGATGTTAATAAGTGTGAAGATGGAAGATGGACGTGGGTGTGGTTTGTTGTTAAAGTTATCAAAGATGAAGGGGATTGAAATTGGGAGATGAAGAGTTTAAATGAATAATAAAGTCGGCCAAAATCACTTTCGTGCCCTTTTGCTAACCGTGCTGCTGGGGACTCTCTAAAATCGATGATTGGATACCCGATTAATGTGGAACCGCCGTCGGGACCAATCACATAATTCGTTCAATCTGCGGGTCGTGCCTTCTGCTTATAAAATACCCTAAAACGCTCTAGCTCATGGAAGGAGCTCTTTACGGTGTTTTTTTATGGGCAGAGGAGATCAGATCACGACTTTTGACGGCTCTTGTTGATAAATGTTCGTCCCCATTCCCATCTTCTTTTAATTCAAAACATCTCTTCTCCATCCACGCAAAACTTTCGAAAAAACACTTTCCAGAATCCTTCCTTGAATTAAATTCATCTACCAACTTAACAACTTCCCACATTAATTTTACCTTTTAAACACTTTCAAAATGACTGGAGGAAAATCTGCTGGAGGAAAGGCGGGAACTACCAAGAACGCTCAATCGTAAGTTGCATTTCCCTTGTCTTCACATCATACCTCGCGACTTTTCGATTCAACTTGCAATTCGCGTTTGTATCTGGATACCATGGTCACTTTTCCATCTTGAATCTTCAATGCTAATTCATTTGCCTTTTTAGCCGTTCATCCAAGGCCGGTCTCGCATTCCCAGTTGGTCGTGTTCACCGTCTTCTCCGAAAGGGCAACTACGCCCAACGTGTTGGTGCTGGTAAGTCATGTTCATCGAACCCATTCTAATTTGCTATTCCTAACGCGTATCCATCAGGTGCCCCTGTCTACCTCGCTGCTGTTCTTGAGTACCTCGCGGCTGAAATCCTTGAGTTGGCCGGTAACGCTGCTCGCGACAACAAGAAGACCCGTATCATCCCACGTCATCTCCAACTCGCCATCAGAAACGATGAGGAATTGAACAAGCTTTTGGGACATGTTACAATCGCACAAGGTGGTGTCTTGCCAAACATTCATCAAAGTAAGTTACTTCAATCTAGTATTTTATATCACACTTTCTAACGCGTTTTTAGACCTTCTTCCAAAGAAGACTGCCAAGACTGCTGGTGGAAAGCCTGCCAGTCAAGAGCTATAGATTTTCGTTTCTGGGTTGTTGGCTTGAGATGGTCTGCTTTTATGATAATGGGGTGTCGTATGGGTATGGGTTTATGGTTATTTTTTCGCGTTCCGGTTGTACATTAAAATCCATGGCAATGGATTAGGATTGCTTTCTGAATCAATCTTATGAATGAAAAATCCGAATGATCATTCTTCATTATTTTCCAGAATACTTCACTTCCTTACTCGATCAGTGCAATGAAACATGAATATTAAGCGTGGGGTTGGGAATTGGACGCGAAACGCGTTTGTTTTGGATTTGTTCGAATGTGGGATGAAGAATCTTCTATGTTGCGATCGTTTGTTGGAAGCTTTCTTAATGCTTGTCTCCTAGCTTCCAACTTTGGTTTTATATTGATATTTCTTGATTCTTGTATATCGCCGGCAACGTTCGCATCACTTGAATTTGTGCACATTCTTCCAATCATATCGGCCTCCACAAAAGTCACTCGAGAGAGGTGCGTTCAGATTCTCTGAGAGGTCGAGAGGGCGTATCTGTAAACATTGTCGAATTTCTTGTGCTATGTACAATTCATCATTTTTTCCACTGATCGTAACTCCGCACTGTAGCCTTCTGCCCTCCTCCCCACGAAACCCCCAGGTACTTACAAAGCCATCTTTGGAGGAGCTATGAATAGTTAATGCGGCGATCTCAGCAGTCGATATGTTGTATAACTTACGGTCGAGAATTGGTGATGGAAGATTGCGCTCGTATTTCGATCCTGGAAAGAGAACATTGTAAGCATATGATATGGAAATAACCAGCCGAGGAAAAACTGACCTCCAGGGGCAGTAGGTGGGCGGTATGGATCTGGGTGCTTCCACTTCTCAAGTAGATCCTCCGTCTCTTTAAACAATGCCTGCGAGTCACATTATTAGTCTACACTTCCTCCTTTATATCAATTGGGCTACTTGCCCTCTGCAATCTTGGGTCGTGGACATTTTTTTGCGCCTCGAATAACGATCTGATATACAATGCTTGCCCTCTCCAGAGATGCCTGTGTACACACCAGTCCAGGGAAAGCTTGAGGGAGCGCTTGTAAAGCGACCTGAACGGAAGAATGTTAGAACCGGCAGTCTGTATGATATGGGATGTAGATGCTCACGATACTGTAGATCTGGTAGACATTATGAATCAAATCTAATCTTTTTTTCTCCACTGGGTGCTCAAGATCGATGGCAATGCCAAAACACGGCAATTCTTGTACCTGGCCACTAAAGGACTATTGATCTTTCAATAAACGCTATTGATGGGAAACGTCTAAACTGTGGTTGGTGGTTGGTAGTGGGTGGTCGCGGAATGAATATTCAGTAGGTGGAAAGTGGAGTGGAGGTTGATTGTTGGAGTGCTACTAGGTAGATGTGGGAATATTATACGGGCGTCTGCGGGTACGAATGTCGGGAAAACGCTTCAAAATTCGCGAGCCCGGAAAAGACATCATACAGGAAATAATTAACCAATCTTATTATCCTTTACCTGTTTCTTTTTCGCATGCGCGTTTATTGACCTGCAAAATAGGTTCTCTATTTCTTTACCTACAACTCAGGTCTTCCTCTTCTTCAAACTTCTCTCTCATCCTCGCCATCTGGCTCCCGGAACATAATCACTTCGCCTTTTCTCTCCCTTCAAAATGCTTACCAGGAGGGTTTTAACAGCTTCGCGATTTTTGCTGGCTCAACGTTCCGCCGCACCGCAATTGAGATACCCACTCCCAGTTATCCAGCAATTTCGCAGCTATGCCGACAAAGTTGTCAAAGTACCAGAAATGGCCGAATCCATCTCTGAGGGTACTTTGAAGCAGTGGTCAAAACAAATCGGTGATTACGTTGAACAGGATGAGGAAATTGCTACAATTGAAACAGACAAGGTCAGTATATTCCAGCATGTGCTCAGGGGTACATGATTAACGAGAGAAAAACTTAGATCGATGTTGCCGTTAATGCTCCCGAAGCTGGCACAATAAAGGAATTCTTGGCCAATGAAGAAGATACTGTTACCGTTGGTCAAGATCTTGTCCGTCTCGAACTTGGGGGTGCTCCAGAGGGTGGTGATAAAGAGAAGGCCTCTTCGGAACCGAAAGAAGCAGCATCAAAAGATCAATCAACATCTTCGGATCCTGAGCCATCTAAGAAGGAGGATTCGAAACCCAAGGGGGATTCTAGCTCTCCTCCACCTACAGAGAAGAAATCGGAACCAAAAGAGACACCAAAGCCCAAACCATCGGAATCTAAGAAGCAAGAGTCATCATCTAGTAGTTCTGGACCTTCTTTGGGCAACCGTGAGGAGCGTCGTGTATGACTTTTACCCTGTACTTGTCACAATTCGTACGACTAACAACATTATTAGGTCAAGATGAACCGAATGCGACTACGTATCGCTGAGCGTTTGAAGCAATCGCAAAACACCGCCGCATCTCTAACCACTTTTAATGAGGTTGACATGTCATCTTTGATGGAGTTCAGAAAACTCTACAAAGATGAGGTGCTCAAGAAGACTGGTGTCAAGCTGGGATTTATGAGTGCCTTTTCTCGTGCATCTGTGCTTGCCCTACGAGACATCCCTGCAGTAAACGCATCCATTGAGGGTCCAAACGGGGGTGACACCATTGTCTACAGAGATTATGTTGATATCAGCGTCGCCGTCGCCACCGAGAAGGGCTTGGTAACTCCCGTTGTTCGCAACACTGAGAGCATGGATCTTGTTGGTATTGAGAAGACTATTGCTGATCTAGGCAAAAAGGTATGGCTGTTCTGTAGCATGTTTGACTCGATCCTTACTTACTGATTCATAGGCTCGTGACAACAAACTTACAATCGAAGATATGGCTGGTGGAACCTTTACCATTAGCAATGGCGGTGTGTTTGGTTCATTGATGGGTACACCTATCATCAATCTCCCACAAACTGCTGTTTTGGGTCTACATGCTATCAAAGACAAGCCCGTTGTCGTCAATGGCCAAATTGTCATTCGTCCAATGATGTATCTGGCCTTGACCTATGATCATCGTCTACTTGATGGAAGAGAGGCTGTCCAGTTTCTGGTTAAGGTTAAGGAGTACATAGAGGATCCGAGAAGAATGCTTTTGTAGACAAGCAGCGTCATAATCTTGGCTGTAAAATTATACCTCCAGTGCACAAATGTAATACAAGACGAAGCATCAGTAAGCCCTCGGGCATCCGAGCTTTAATGCTATCTCGTTGATTCCGACAGCAGGATTTGTTGATATGCATTGTATGATCACATTCTGTCGCAATTGTTTCAAAGATATCCAGTAACATACGACAACCGATGTCCAAAATCACGATGCGGTATGGCTTGTGGTTGACATGAAGTTCGTCATCACGAACAAGAAGTCCGCTGACCATGTTTTCTTTTGGACCACATCCGGTTGCTGCCATCCATATATGTGATTATATCATGAATGTGTGCCTGTGGGTTTCAACAACTGTCAGAATATGTATCACATACTTATTGTTTTACTATACACTACCTAGGTATTCCCTCCTAGTCTAATTGAAGCCACTGTATACAACGCCTGCTCGTCAATAAGACATTGCGTACATTGCCATCAATACTAATTCTATGCTATGAACTCCTCCTGATATCTACAAGTTACAATCCTTACAATTACCACGGTCATCTAGTTCGAGTAGTTTGCTCACGGTTGGACGTACTTTAGATTTCAAACTTGAACTATGATCGTGTAATTTCCAAGCTTGAACTTGTTCAAAATGAGAACGCAGTCCTATGCGTTGGTCTTGAGCTTTCCTTCTCCTCCAGATGACTACGAGTACATCTATCTACTCACCGATGAGTCGCCACAATAAAGATCGCAACGTTTGGTCAATAATCACTTGAGACAGCTCTTGTTAACTTGGAACATGGCTCTGGGTCGTCTTTCGTAGGTTGACCCTCAGCCTGTTAAATCAGAAGATAATCCATGTAGTATAGGTTAACAGGTATATATTTTGTTCGTAGTCGATTGGGGTTACAACTCATCCTACCTGTTTGCCGCCAAACGTTTCTGGACAGCTGCAGTTGAATTTCAGCCTGCCAGTAGGCTAGATAAAAAGAAATTGTGGTCTCTAAATCTTTACTTGGAGTGATTGAACGAAAATAAGACACGAACGCCAGAGAAGACTAATGAGTATAAAGATGGCACTAGCAGCAATGCCCTTGACAGAAATGCAAACACCAGTGTTTAGTCTGGTGAACTGTACTAAATAGTACTACGAGGATATGTATTGCCATTATAAGAGTGTGGATGGCGCAAACGAGCTACGGTAGTGTATCTCCGCTGGGGTCAGATCAAGATATTCTGGAAATGCTGTTCACCGAGTCGGGGTCAAAGGTAACATTCCAAAACTTGAAACCACTGTTCTGATTGTTTGAAAGTGCAAGTCTTAAGTCTAGGCCTAGACTTAAGTCATCAAGCTTTGGGCTCCTCGGTGGATTAGAATGTTTATGTAACTATTATTCAAATGATCAAGATAATGTCAAGTGTGAGAGTGACTACATGATGGTTGATACGGATGAGGCGCGCATTGAGCTTATTCTATCTCTATGGTAGCTCAGCAATTTCTGGCTTCATTCTCCTCAGATTAGTATAGAGAATGTCGAATATTATGTACTATCGAAATAAGATAGCTTCTAGACCATTCTGAAGTCTTATTGATAGAAGTAATACATTTTGCATTATGATTCCACCATTTTTTAGTATGAATCTAGAATGACTTTCTTCTTTTAGAAATATTAAATCTGGGAAATGATTAGAGACTGGAGATTAATCTATAAATAATTGAAACTACTTTATATTAGATCAGAAAATATATAATACGAGCTTTTTCTCGGCTCTTTGTGGTTAAAAATAATAACAACCTTGTTAATACTTTTTGTAATTATTTTTAATACTATTCAGGATTTATATCTATACTTGTATTATATGGCTTTTAGAATTCTAATTAAAATATGAATTTTAAAGCTTTTAAAACTATTCAAAGATTATAAGCTTTTTGGAATAGTGGTCTGTACACAGGCTTAAGTGGGGTATATCCAACCCTGAACTACGAATAATAATAATAATAATAATAATAATAATAATAATAATAATAATAATAATAATAATAATAATAATAATAATACTACTACTACTACTAAATTTATTTTTCATTTTCATTTTCATTTTCATTTTCATTTTCATTTTCATTTAATATAATTTAATATAATTTAATATAATTTAATATAATTTAATATAATTTAATATAATTTAATATAATTTAATATAATTTAATATAATTTAATATAATTTAATATAATTTAATATAATTTAATATAATTTAATATAATTTAATATAATTTAATATAATTTAATATAATATATATGAGGGCGAGCCCCTAAGCCTTTAATCTTCGCTACGCTCGAGTTTAAATTTTTATATTAAATTCGTATTAGCTTTTTGGTTTTCTTTTTGGTTTTCTTTTTGGTTTTCTTTTTGGTTTTCTTTTTGGTTTTCTTTTTGGTTTTCTTTTGTTTTCTTTTTGGTTTTCTTTTTGGTTTTATTTTTCTCTTATTTTTCTCTTATTTTTCTCTTTTATTCGATTTATTCGATTTATTCGATTTATTCGATTTATTCGATTTATTCGATTTATTCGATTTATTCGATTTATTCGATTTATTCGATTTATTCGATTTATTCGATTTATTCGATTTATTCGATTTATTCGATTTATTCGATTTATTCGATTTATTCGATTTATTCGATTTATTCGATTTATTCGATTTATTCGATTTATTCGATTTATTCGATTTATTCGATTTATTCGATTTATTAGATTTATAGATTTATTTGATTTATTTGATTTATTTAATTTATTTAATTTATTAGATTTATTAAATTTGTTAGATTTATTAGATTTATTAAATTTGTTAGATTGTTTAAATTTATTAGATTTGTTAAATTTAATAAATCTAATAAATCTGATAAATCTGATAATCTAATCCCCCCCTCTTTCTAAATCCTCTTCTCTTTCTAATTCCCCTCCCCCTTTCCTTTCTCATCCCCCCCCCTCCCCTTTCTAATCCCCTTCCCTTTCTAATCCTCTTCTCTTTCTAACCCCCTTCCCTTTCTAATCCTCTTCTCTTTCTAATCTCTTTTTTTCCTTTTTCTTTTTTTAATTCTTTAGCTCTCATCACAAATCCCAAATCTCCAAACTAATCAGAAACATTTATTCAACTCTTCAAAATCTTTAAATCTTCAATCTCTTCAATTCATTTTTTAATCTATTTATTTATTATTAATTATAACTTATCAATATAAAAATTGTATTATTAAACAACTCTTAATTCAAAGAATATAAAAATATCAATGAATTATATTTCATATATCATTTATAACTATTATACCTATTAATAATACCTACCTAATCTATTCCAATCTATTTCCTAATTTTTGATATTCGTTATACAAAGAATCAATATTTTTTCTCAACCAATTAGCTTCCAGTTATAAAACATGTTTTAAATCCTGTATGTTAGGGATAATAGTATAATAATTTCTCAAAAAGTAAGGGGTCCAGGGGCTCGCAGGCCTCTGGTTTTGATTATTAGTTATTATAAGTATTATATTAGAGATCTTCGAATATCTATTCTATTTGTTTATAAATTTATAAATCTAAAACTCATTATATAGATTTAATAAAATAAAATAAAATAAATTTAATAAGATCATTTTTATAAGATTATATAAGCTTATAGTATATAATTATAAAAATAATACTTATATATTAAATATAAAACTTATATATAATTTCTTAAATATAAATATATAATGTTATGATACACACTCTATAAATATTTTAATAAACTTATTCCTTTTGAAATAAATATCTAATAAATCAATTATGAAATAAGTCATCAGTTCTTTCAAAGAAGAAACTTTCTATTATATTTTTCTATTCCTTTTTATTTTTATTATTACGAAATTAAAATCAAATATCAATAACAAAAACAAACAATAAATAAACAAAATATTATAATAATAAAGAGAAAAAACAAGATTCATTTTCCGGTATTTATATAGATAATTCAAACTCGAATTTTTCTAGAAACTTATTATAAAGTTTGATCCCTTTTAATATCTTTCTTAGAATAATTATATACATTATTAAATTACCTACTTTATTAGAATTAAATTAAAATAATAGAACAAAGTATATAATTCTTTACTTTCAAATATTATGTATTTTTCTATTACTCAAGCAATATTTATATTAATAGCTATATCGATAAGAAATCTTATTCTAAATAATTAGATTTATCTTTAACATTTTGATAATGTAAAATATTATAAGGATTATATTAATTATATTAATTATATTAATTATATTAATTATAATAGTATACAATTTATAGATTATAATTAATATTAATATTCTTGATATAGTCATAATACTATTATTTTATAATAGTTATTAAAAAAATAGATATTAAAGACTTAATATAAAAAGAATATTTAATTTTTTTTATAATAATCAATTATATGATAAAACTCCTTCTTGTTTTCAAATAAATATTAATACCTTAACGGAACAAGCCAGGAGATAATACGGTGGAAATACGGTGCTAGTATGGTTCTAGTAGTATTTCTACGGTTCTCGAATCCCTGAATGGTATTCGAACCACTGAATGGTATTCGAATCCCTGAACAGTACCTGAACGGTACTAGTACTGTATTCGAACCCCTGTACTGTACTCGAATCCCTGAACGGTACTAGCACTGTACCCAATCAGGAACTTAGAGAAAAAAAGCCTTCAATCAAATTATATTAAAATTAATCTTAAATTCATTATATAATATAATAATATTATTAGAACTCTAATACAATAATAATATAATAAATTTTATAATACTAATAAAAAAATAATAAAAAATCCTATTTTAATAAATACTAGTTTTATATCCCTGAAATTCGATTTATAATATTATTTCAGGGATTAATATATATAATTTCAATTATTCGAATTCAATAAATTATATATTTATAAAACCATATTTATATAATAATTTCGAATTTATAAAATTTATTATATTTAAAATAAAGCTTTGATATATTAAATAATAAAACTATTGAAAAGTTGATTAGTAATCAAGCTATATCAGGTTTATTAATTATATTTTTTGTGTTTTTTCAAATAATAGTTTTTTTTTACTTAAATCTATTTTAAAGGATTACTAAGCATTTAATATTAAAGGTTTAATAGGAATTTTTTTAGATTTATATTACAAGTTTTAAAAGAGCTATTTATAAGGGTTTGAGTTTATAATTTCAGGGCTTATAGGGATTAGCTATAAAGATATTACAGGGATTAGCGAGTAGTAATTTGATAGTATGTGAATTGTACTTCTATTGTACCAGAATCTATACAATACTCAATCAGAGTACAGTTTAGACACCGTATCCCGTAGGGGTACGGTGGGAGTACTGTTTCATATTCCCACTTGGGCCATTAAGGTAGCTACAGTACTAGGGCACAGATAGTAGTAGATCACCCAAATCACACTAAAACTCATCATCAAAACTAAAAAATTTTAATATAATTAAATGAAAATTTGTAATTTTTGTTTATATAAATTTATTTATTTCTAATTATAAATTTCCAAGAAATTTATAATTCATTTTTGAAATTTTAGATGATGATTTTGTATAGATTTGAAATATAAATATTTGAAAATTCTAGAATTTATTAATAAAAAATAAGCAAAATTTGAGGAACTTTTATAAACTATTATTTTAATACTAAATTTCTTATTTTTAAATTTATTGCAAAATTCCAAAAACTAAAAATAAAAATTATTATTATGTAAATGATATATATAAAATAATTTCATCGAAAAAAATCATTACAAGTATTAATAAATGATTATATAAAATATAGTAGATTATTATTTTTTGGTGTAATCTAGATGATCGGCCACTATCTATACATGATGACTGTATTATATAATAAACTTAATTATATATTTTGTTTATATTATTATTAGATATGTAAAATACTTTATAGGTAATTACCTTTTCAATCTTTATTAAAAAATAAAAAAGATAAGCTATTTCGATTATTGAGGATTAGATTTTTAGAATAATAGTATAATAATTATAAGATAATCGTTAATATATATATATAATTATACTTATTTTTTGATTAAAATATTTGGTTTTGATAAATAATTATATAATAATTATTAGAAGAAAATTAATTTTTAGGAGAAATAGATTATACCTAATGTATTATGGAGATTACGAATATAGATATATACTTATTATAATAGTTATAATAATGCTATTATATAAAACTCTAGAAAAACTATTTAGAATATATTTAGAAATTGTAATATAAAATCTTTTTAAAGATAGATATAAAATAGAAAATCTATAAGATAACTAGTCACATAGTATAAAGTTTTATTAATATAGTTGATTCGTAGAAGCAAACTCAATTTTTTTACATTTCTATATTATGTAATCATATATTTATATGTATAT